GAGTAGCCGTCTGCGTAACCTTCGGCGCTTCGCCATTCTCCTGGCTGCTGCTACCGCTGTGGCGTCATTGGGATGCGGTGCTGTTGGTGTTGTGCTGTTGCTGTCGCTGTCGAGGTATGTGTTTTGGTGCTGCTCAAGCTCGTCGGCACGGATCGGCCCGTGCTGGAGTTGTCGTTCGCACTCTGTAGGGTTATGAGGTGCGGGGGGAAACCGTTCGCTGTTTTGTGATGCCGTTGTATATGCATTGAATTTGGCTGTCACGGGTGGACTAGCCAGCCCCCTTGGGGTCTTTCTACTTGTCTTGCAGTCCTCTTGCGAGCCAAAATGGCTGGTGACGGGAGGTTGGCGCGTGGGCCAGGCTCCGTCGACTGCAAGTATGGGATACCCCCAGGGTGCCCGGCGCTGGGAGGCCTCCAGGTGAGATGACTCTGGTAGTCTCGACCTGCTGCCTGGGCCCGCCTTCGCGTGGCTGTGCAGCCAGGGTTGCGGCGCCGCATGGGCCGCCGCAGCTCCCGCGGAGTGGAATGTCGGTCCTGGCGTGGCCAAGGGGTGTCGCCTTGGTCCACGCTGCTGGCGCTGCGGCTGGCTGCTCGAGTAGCTCTCCCACTCTTGCTGCAGCCTCGCCCACTCTTGCTGCAGTGCTGGTTGTCTGCATGAGCCCTGGTGGCAAGGGGGCTCGCGGCCTGAGGGAGTCGCTCAGGTCCGCGCTTGGAGCGCTCATGCTTGAAGTCGCCGTCCTGTGGGTGGTCCCCACCCTTGCCCACAGTTGCGGCGTCTAGGGAGCTGGCAGTGCAGATGCTTCGACTGCTGCGTCTTTTGGGTCGAGGCTCCCTAGTGGAGCGCTGGTGGTCTGAAGCGGATGCGGCATCCCCAGGGCTCGCATCGGCTTGGGCGTAACTATGTAGTGTGATGGAAGCTAGGTGCGATTGTGTGCGGGCGGCCAGGGGCCGTGGGTGGGGGTGGCTGGGCGTAGGCTCGTCACCGCACGGGTCTCTGAGCCTGGGCCCCGTATCCCCATGGTCTTCTGGTGTGGCTGGCTGGGCGCAGGTCTGGGCCAGTTGCCCCCCAGCCTGCGTACTCCCCCTCAGCTTTTTGACAATCGACCCCCGTCGAGGTCGCTTTCGCCGCTCTCGATGAAGGATGCCACCCTGTCACCTGGGTCCGCGAAGCCATCGTCCGCGTCGCAAATCCTGACCTTTTTAGGCTGGCTCCTCGCCCTCCTGGGCTCTCCTGGCTGCTTCAGGTTGCCTCTGCAAGGTGGTGCTGAGCTCGTCCTCTCTGGTGTGCCCATGTGGAAGCGCGGAGGTGGCAGCCGTGGCTCGTGTGGCACGGTGGGCGTGATGTCCTCAATCGGCAGCCGTGGAGGGGTGCTAGGACAGGCCTCCTCGTCGCGGCTGAGGTCGATGAACAAGGTCGTCATGGGGGTTTGGGCTGGCTGTGGTCGTTGTTGTGGGCTCTTGTTTGGCGTGAGAGGCGTGACGGGTGGGAAAATGGTGGGCCTTGGCGTGGGCTGTTCTGTCGGGATGGGTGAGTCGGCTGGGAGCGTTGGTGAGAGTGAGGCGAGGTCTGTCGGGGCTTCGTCCTCCTTCTCCTCGCGCAGGTCTTGGCCCATCTTCGGCTCTTCCTCCTGCAAGTCAGCGTCGTCGGATTCGCCGATTGGGATGCAGTCACTGTCCGCCCGTACGTCGAGCAGCCCCTCTTCCCTGGGCTCCTCGGTAGCGGCCCTTTCTCTTTCTCCCAGCCCCGGGTTGGCCAGGTGGAGAAATTTGTCGATGCTGGCGTGCTCCTCGATGGGCGGGCGCTGCTGAGGTGGTGGTGGTGGTGGTAGCGGAAGCTCTTCAGCGGGTGGCCTCGGCACGGAGCTCAGGTCTTGAAAGCTGAGGTCGCCGAACGGCGAGGGGGTCGGCTCCTCTGGCGTTGGCATCGACGATGTATGAGACCTCTCTCCAAATCCCACCTCGGCCAGCTCCTCGAGGCACGGCGGTAGTTCGGGATGTGGGAGCTCGTACTGGCTAGGTAGAAGCCGGAGTAGGTCTGCCTCCAGTTGCTCCCTCTGGTACTTGCCCTCCTGCTCCGCCATGCCTTGGTCACGCTCAGTCGCGACTGGGTTTTCCATGAGGTCGTCCGTCATATCGAATAGCAGGTCCTCGTCCACTTGTCCTCCTGCTCCCCAGGCGTCCCGTAGAGCGTTCTGGAGTCCTGCCGTCTGCCGATCATGCACGTGTTGGAGGTCTTGTAGTTGCTGCTGCCTCTGTATGTCGCTCATGTGCTGGATGTGGGCGTAGTGCTGCACCGCGGCCTGCATCTCCTGCTAGTGCTCGTGCTGCAGAGTGCTGTGGTACTGCTGAGACGCGTGGTTCTCCAACTCCTGCTGGTGCTGTAATGCCTGGAGCTCGCTCGTGGCTGCTGCTTGGCGCTGCAGTGCCACCTCCTCCATCCTTTGAGCTTTGTCCACCGCCTCCTGGTGCTCCCCGACGCGCTCCAAGTACTCTTCCTGCTCGTGCTGCATCTCGTACGCCTTCGCCTGGATGGCTGAGTGCCCCAGGTTCAGGACGACCCGCATCGCTTCGCGCCTGTTGGCCTCTTCCTGGTGCTCGTAGGCCATCTGCTGGTAGGTCACTGCGATCTGCAACTCCTCCTCCTTGTAAGCGCTGCGCCGGGCGCGTCGCTCCTGGTATTCCGCCTCCGCCATCTCCTGCGTCGCCTTTTCGTTGTGCTCCTGCGCCACCTTGTACCACTGGGCCTCCTGAGCCGCCATCTGTCTCACAGCCTGCTCCTTCTGCCTGGCCTTCTCGACCTGCTGCGTGTAGATGGCTGCTCTTCTCTGGTCTTCCTTGTGCATCTATTCGCGTAGTATCTCCTTGTCCAACTCGAGGTGCTTTTGCAAGTCCACGAGCATCCCTTTGGCCCTCTCCCCCTGTGTCCTCTGGCTGCCTCTCTGCGCCTCGTATGCTTTCGCTTCCTCCTCCTCCAGCTTGGCGTTGTGGTGTCTCTTGAGCGCGTTGACCTCCCATGTGTGCCACTCCTGCTGCTTGGCCAGCTGCGCTTCAGTCGTGCGGATCATCTTTTGCGCCATGGTCTGCTCGCAGGCCTTCAGCTCGCTTTTGTGCTTAAGCTCTGCCTGTGCCAACAAGTCACTTTGCTGATGTTCCTTTCTCTGCTGCAAATCGAGCCTCTCGGTCAATTTCCTGATGGCGTCTTTGATCTCGTCTGGTGCTGCTGGGGCTGATCGCACAGTTGTTGCTGCTCCCGAGGAGGCACTCGCTGCTCTGCCTGGCTGTGCTGTGGCTGGTGCCGCAGGTGCTGCAGCTGGGTCGCGCATCCTCCTCCTCGCTGTCGGGTGTGGCGTGCGTCCTCTGGTGGGGTCCTCGCTCCCCTCCTCCTCTGACGATTCCTCCTTCACACCCGCTGACTTTGCCATCTGGTCTCTAGTTTCCCTCAGCAGGGTCTTGTAGACCCTGATGGTTCTGGCGGCCGCCGCCTCCTGGTCGAGCATCCTGCTGAGCCGCTTCTCCATCTCGGTGTGCTCCTCCTCCAGCTTTTCCAGCGTCGCCCTGAGCTGCTTCATGCGCTCGTTGTGGGACAAGACGAAGGAGATGTTCGTGGCAGTGATCGCCGCTTCCTGCTCGAGGCTTGATGTGCACAATCCCGCCAGCCTAGCGCCAGCAATGTTCTCGGCGAGGCGGCCCAGCCTGTGGCACTTCGTTTTGTACCACACGTACCGCATTTCCTCGTCATCAGGTGGTGCGGACCAGCACTCATGCTCCATCGCCACGGCGAATGAGACTGGCGTGATGCTGTCCAGGACTGCCTTCTGCTGCGGGCTGTGCTGGAAGCTGCCGATGTGGGATGCGGCTGGAGCGTCGTGCTGGCCCCTCCTTCTGCGCCTGCTGCTCCTCCTTCTGGCAGAGGCGCTCCTCCATGGCGCACTGTGCTTCCAGTGCTGGGCGCTGTCGCTTCGCTGCTGGTGCTGTGGGTGCTTTTGCTGGTGCTAGTGGTGGGCTGGCTGTTGGTGGTGCTTGCGGGGCTGAGGCTGCTGCTGCTGCTGCTGCTGCTGCTGCTGCTGCTGCTGCTGCTGCTGGCTGTGCTGCCGCCTCTGTGCGTTGTGCTGCTGGTATCCGTTGTGCTGGTGTTGGTGATGCTGGCCATCCCCACGGGCCCACTCCCAGGGTCGCCCTCCGATGGCTCCGTACTCTCCAGTCCAGTCTCTGGCACTGCTGCTGCGCCTGCGCTGGTGCTGCTGCTGCGCCTTCGTCGTCATCTCCCCGTCCGCGTGGTGCCCCTCAGTGTGCTGCTGGTTGCGCTGGGGCTGCTGCGCCGAGTGGTGCTCCTCCAAGAGCTGCTTGGCCGCCGCGAGCCTGAGGAGGACGCGCGCGTTCCCCCTCTTGTCCCGCCAGCGGCGGTGCCAGGCAGGCTCTGGCTCGGCCCTCCAGCCGCGCGGCGTGCTGCCTGGGGCTGCCGCTGCCGCGGCCGCCAGCGCCGCTGCCCGCGGCGGGGGAGCTGGGAGGCGCCGAAGGCCCCCCGCCGCGAGGTATGGCGCGCGCGGCGCGCTTCAGCCCTGCCTTGCGGGCTGGCCGATGCGATCAAGCGCCCTGCCACCGCGATCGATCGGGCGGCAGGCGCGACCGAACCCCGACCGATCTGTCGGGATCCGCTGGCCCGCGCGAGGCTAAATGAGCCCCTCCTCCTCCTCCTCATCCTTTTCCTCCTCCTCCTCCTCCTCCTCCTCCTCCTCCTCTGCGGCCTCTCGGGTCTTCTCCTCCCCTCGCTCACACGGCAGTCCTCCTCCTACTCCTCTTCCTCCTTCTCCCTCCTACTCCTCCTCGTCCTCCTCCTCCCTCCCTCCTCCTCCCCTACTCCCTCCTCCTCCCCTCCTCCTCCTCCTCCTCCGCCTCCTCCTCCTCCTCCTCCTCCTCCTCCTCCTCCTCTCCGCCATACTCCTCCTCCTCACCGCCCCTGTCCTGCCGATGCCTTCCCCTCCGCCGAAGCGGTCGGCGGAGGAATGGCGGGTCCTCGCCTTCACGCCCGACGCCGGAACCACGGACTTGGTCCAGTCGGTCACCAAGGCGCCATTCGCCTTTCGGTCGGGCGGCCCCGCCTTGCATTGGCGGCTCCGTCGCGAGAGGGCCAGCTCTCACACTCTGCTCCGAGTGCCCACGGTTCACCCCCACGACCTATGCTTCAGGCATGCCGCCGAAGCGATCCCTGCTGGCGCCGCTCGAAGCGCATGTTGGCGGAGTCCTGCTGAAGGCCGGAGGGGCGCAGGGGCCCACAGGCTGGGGGCTCCACGGAGAATTCCGAGCTCGGGGGCGTCCTGCAGCCGCCATGAAGCAGAGAGGTCCGCAGGGAAACGGTCCTGAGGGTTGTCGCCGGTTTCGGCTCCCTGCGCCCTCTACTCTAGGATGTCTCGGGGGGCGTCCAAGAGGTGCGTGGAGGACCAGGGGTGTGTGCACAATCATGGCCCGGACCACGGAATCTCCCTGGCCCCCCCCCTTCGTCCGTGCACATGCCTCGGGCGTCAAGGCGCTACTCCTCCTCTTCCTGGCCCCCGCTTTCGGCGCACCCGACGAGAGGGGGAACGACGGCGAAGCTGCCAGGACGGCCGAGGGTCGAGGATTGGTTTCTCGTGGGCCCTGGGAGGTTCGAAGGTTCAGGACCGAGTCTTTCCGTTTTGCTTTGTTTTAAGAGATCTGGCATTTTATGAGCCTCGTCGACGCCACGGCTGGATCCGCCTCGAAATTCTGGACAGAACGCACCTCAGGATGGGTCGGGGGCGTGAGTTGTTCTGGAGGTTTTTCAACCTCGAGATGATTTTTCAGCAGCTGCGCCCCGCCGAGATCGTTCCAGGAGTGCCTGGATTGTCCCGAACGGCTAGCTGAGGTCCGAGTTATGCCCGAAAGAGTTGGATACTCATGACGCGGCCGGCCTGGGCGAGAACTGGATACACATGTGGCCATGTGTCTTTCCAACGCTCGGCCCTTGCGTGCCCAGGCATCCCGAGCCTCCGCGTGTGCGTATCCAGCGCGTGACTTGGATGCTCCACGTGTGAATCCACTCATGTGTGTGTGTTTTTTGCGCTTGAGGATGGTGTTCGTGATGCGCCTTCGAAGGCAACACCTTCCCCTTCACCCTCCGGGTCTTCGCCCCCGGTTCCAGTCCGCGGCGCACCTGCTCCTGCACATCCACTTCGGCACCGCCTGCACCCCTGGGCCTCGCCCACTCCGGCCGCCTGAGGCCCCGCCTTCCTGTGCCCTGTCTCCCTAATTGAAGCTGTGCGTAGCCCGCTTAGCTTTTAGCGGAAGAGGTTTGCTCTCGCCCCGCAGATCAAACATGTGTGTGTGTGCGTGTGTGTGTGTGTGTGTGTGTGTTCCAGCTTCCTGGTATACTGACGACCTTCGGGGAAGAGGGTATCACAAGGAGGTTTTGGATATTTTGGCATCTTTGATAGGCTTGAGGGGGCCTCTGAGGAAATCTGGGGACTCCCGGGAGTCTTCGCTGGACACTCCGGCGAGGCCTGGGGGAGGAGGAGGAAGAGGAGAATGAGGAGGAGGAGGAGGAGGAGAATGGCGGCGGCGATTCGGGCCATCGCCACTACGTCCTGATAACGGGCCCCAGGGGCTCACATCGGTAAGCCGCCGGGATTGAAAAAGACATCTGGTCGGGAACTTTGGGATAGCGTGTCACGCCGCTCCCAGCTCCCAAGCGTCCACGTCCCGAGCTTTTTCGAGCCTCCCGCCCCGCTGAGCGGGGCGACGCGCCATCCCCTTTCAAGGCATAGCTTGACGCTGGGGCAGCCAGGGTGACACGCTACGCAAACCTTCCCGACCAGATCGTCGGAGACTTTGGTTGTCGCCGAGAGCCGGTCGGGGAGGGCGACGCGGGGAGGACTCCTTCGCCACCGCCCGCGCGCGGTCGCAGGGGTGGGGGCGAGCACCCTCCACAGTATAGGTCGGTGACCAGCCCGCTGGGAAGACCCTCCTCCTGCAGTATTAGCGTTTCCCTCATTCCCATCTCCAACTCGTCCCTCCTCCTCCTCCTCCTCCTCCTCCTCCTTCTCCACCGCCTCGTCCTCCACCTCCCCATCTTCTTCCGACCACTCGCCCTGCCCCTCTTCTCATCCCCTGCCGGTGCTGATGCTCCCTTTCCTCCCTGTCTGGTCGAGCGGACGGCGACGGAGGGGAGGCAAAAAAACGTGGGGGATCGAGGATTGCAGGAAAGTGGGCCTAGAGTTTACATGCCCCTAGACTGCCACCACGGGCCAAAAAGGTACACGGAAGGCGTACGTTTCTTCGCCCCCGTCTCCCGTCAACGAGCACCCGATCTGGCATGGGTTCCCTTCTGAATTGTGAAAAGTCGCCCCCTCTCTAAACTCGGTTTGGGACACCTGAAGTGACCATACAGAAAACGAACATACCCAAGACGACCACTCTGAACTCATCATGCTCCAGTGCATGAGTACTGTAGGATGCTGACGTGTGCTTTTTTTGCGCACGCCCAGCGACCCCACACGCCTGCCTGACGCACGCAGGCCTAAATTGACCTCCCAGAGTCTCAATCGAGTCAAAGTCTGGCGAGAAACGATAGACACAGACACAACAAGCATGGGCACCCAGGCAAAGACTGAAGCAGAATTATGGAAGGGGGGGAAGTCGAACATCCGTAACATATTAAACAATAGGGGGGATCCTGGAACTTGTGAGTGTGTGTGTGTGTCCGTTTCACACCGGGCCCTTTTGTAAGAAAAGGGAATTCAAACCTGGCCTTCCCTCCCTGCTCCACGCCGATGCCTCCGCGCCGCGGCCTCCCCCGCCGAGGCCCGGTGGCTCCAACAAAAAACCCGCCGCGGCCGCGGCGCGGATCCCACGCTGGCCCCGACCGATGCCGCCCAGATGCCCGTGCGGCTCCACGCAAGAGGGACCTTTCGCCGGAGTGACCCTTGGTGCGGACACGCGCGATGCGGCAGCAGCATCTTGCGCGCTCGAGTGCCGCGGCCCCTCGTCGCGCACACGAAAGCCGCGCACCAAGGCTATTTTTTTTGCCTGGGCTCACTCGCGTGTGTGTCCGACCCGTGCGACGTGCTGCTGCCGCCGCCGAGCCACTTTGGCTCACAGGGCCCTCGGCTCCCCAGAGGGGGGCCGGCAGCCTCGTGCCCCGTGCGCGCCCTCGCTCCCTGCGCGCGCCCACCGGAGGGGCCGGCTGCCGCCGCGCACCGCATGGAGTGCGGTGGATGGCGGCGCGCACAAGGGGATGGCGCGAGGGGGACGGGCTTCGAAGGCAGCCCCCGTGCCTTCTTGGATGCCCCCCCCGCCTTCTTGGAAGGCAGCCCCCCCCCCTCCCGCCACCTCTTTCTCCAGGGTGCCCTCCTGAGACCGTTCGGCGCGTGAGTCGGCGGCCGAACGGGCTCAATTCCTTCTACACTATTGGAGCTGAGTCCCTTTCGGACAGGGCTAGGACGAGGATCTCAGAGATTCTCAGAGATTCTCGGTCTATCCTCACCCGGCTTTGTCCTCGTCCTGGCTTCGTCTTACGGTTCGAGCCGAGCGGGCTCAGAAGCCGAACGGGGTCAGAAGGGAGCCGTGGGGTTGTGGGCTCTGCTGAGGTGGGGGGGCTGCCAGCGCGGCGAGGGGCGGCCGCTGCGGAGAGGGAGCAGGCGCCAGGAAGGCCGGGCTCGGCGCCCGCGGGTGCAGGCGCCGCAGGGCACCGCTGGTGCAGGGGAGGCCAAACGGTACCGATGCCGCTACCCTCTGCCCGTGTTCCCTTTTTTCGGCCTCCTGGTGAGGCCTTCGTCGCCCTGTCTGGAGTCGCATCGAAATCTGGGTAACAAGAGAAAGCGCACCCCGGTAGAGGTCCAGTGAGTAGCGGTATCGGCACCTTTTGGTTTCCCCAGCTGGTTTCCCTTCCCTTCCTTCTCGCTCCCTTCACCCCCCGCCCTCTCCTCCGCCCTCTCCCTCCTTGTACGTCAGGCGGACTGTGGCAGCTAGACTGTAGCGTTTTGGTGGCGGGAGCAAGAGTCAAACCGCCTGAGTGCAGACTGAGCGGCGCAAGAGATGCAACGAAAGGCGGTAAAGAGGAGAGCCCGCTAAGGCAAAGAGTCTTCGAACTTGCCTTTACCCCTCCTTTTCAGTTTGTGTCGGTGCCCATCCAGTACAGACCTTTTTAATTTCTGTCGAGGCTCATCCAGTTCAGACCCCCTGCCGCCTCCAACCCGGAAGTCCCAACCCTTTCCCCAGTCCCCACGGCCAGCGCTTCGTCCCCAATCGTTTTGTTGACGGTCCCGCGGCCCAGCGAGGACCCTTGTAGAGCGAAAACAGCCAACAATTCGCCGTCGTCGTGATTGTTTCACGACGCGGGCGTGTCTAGGGCTCCCGTCCTCCGCCTTCGAGCTTCGAGCTGCGGACTTGTCTGTGCTGCAGTAGACCAGACACCTAGCGCGTCGCTCTTGCGGTGTAGACCCGGAAGCAGCTCTAGCCTTAACATGGGTTCCCCCGCCGACTGGGGCGACCGACGACGGGGCGACATGAGGAGGAACAACAGGAGGACAGAGAGAAGAGTGGTAATGTCATATTGCGATGAATAAGTGGTGCCCTGGGGCTGATGAATAGACCCCGCTGGGCGCGAAACATATTCTTAGTCACGCGCGCCAGGGGGTCGTCGCGGGCGCCGCCGAGGGATCGTGCACCCCCATACACGGCAGCTTCAACGATTTGTTATGTGTATAGAAATTGTCATAGGGATCTTAAACATCACAGGCGAAGTATATCCCCTTCTCAGGCTGATTAATGACGTGTCACAGTCGTCGTCGTCGCTGTCGTCATATTTTCGTCGTCGTCGTCAACTACAGTGGGCCTTCGCAGCCCCCCCAAATGGGGCATCCGCAGTGCGCTGTCGTCGTCGTCGTCGTCCTCGTCATCGTCGTTGTCGTCGTCGTCGTCGTCGTCGTCGTCTGTGTCGTTGTCGTCGTCGTCGTCGTTGTCGTCGTCGCCGCGTCGCCGTCGACGTCGACGTTGACGAGGACGTCGACGACCGCGGGCCTCCGTAACCACCCCGCCACCCAGGGGGCATCAGCAGTGCGTCGTCGCCGCCGTCGTCGTCGTCGTCGTCGTCGTCGTCGTCGTCGTCGACGTCGTCCACGTCGTCGACGTCGTGACCGACGTATACGACAGCACTAGGCCTACGCAGCCCCCTCGGTCCATTGGGCATCCGCAGTGCGTCGTCATCGTCGTCGACGATTGCAGCGGGCATGTGCAGCACACCCGCAACCCAACCCCATGGAGCATCCGCAATGCGTCGGCGTCCGCTGTCGCCATCGCAGTCGCCGTCGCCGT